TTTATGTATTCTATAATGGGTTTGTGGTTTTCCGTTTGTTTATTAAATCAACGCTAGGTTACCCAGTGCAGCCCAGTTGCTTTGGATTATGTGTCCCATCATCCCCTGATATTTATCATGCTAGTTGAGCTAATGGAGGTTGAAGTCATTACATTACATTACATCACATTAACTTATTCTTTTTAGATTATATTAGCTAAGTTTTCAGTCATAAGCAAGTTGCATAGTGCAAGGTGCAAACCCAGTCAATTGGCTTGATAAACCATGGTTAGATATGACATATAAAGCCAAATCACAGTTAAAACATACTATAATATACCCAAATATATGCAGTATCTTATCTTATCTTATCATCTTTAACATGTCCTGAAGGAATTCATATTTATAGTTTTATCCGGTGAGGAACATTCTTTCTCCTTTCCTTTTCAAACCTAATAAGAAAAATATAAAGGTAGCTAAGTGAGGTTATTTTAATGAAGAAATTAAAATGAATAAAATCCATTGCATGGTACTATTGGGAAGTCATAGGTAGTCCTCGAGTTATGATCATAATGGAGCCTGCCCCTCATGGTCATAAAGCAAATAAGTCACGTGACCAACCCAATTTTATGAATGTTGGGGGACTATCTGTACTGCTAATCTTGTGCCTTATAACAGGCTTAGCTTGGCTGATTTGCAGCAATCTGGTGCAGTTGCACATCTTCTCCAAAAGATGGCAGTGTTCCCTTTGAAATAGTCCAACAGTGCAACAGCCTTTCCTATGAAAGAGGGATAAAATCAGCACAAAAATTTCTTTTTCAAAGCCGAGACACTGAAAAAGAAACCGGGTGGGGGGGGAGGTGGGGGGAGCATCCCTGAAAATTTCTCAGAAAAGTACCTCTAGGGAAAATTTTTAGCATAGATGATGTTAATTAAAGACCTAACTTGGTGTAGTGGTTAAGGCATCAGAAACTGGGAAATGGTGAGTTCTAATCTCCCCTTAGCCACAAAGCCAACTAGGTGATCTTGGGCCAGCCACAGTCTCTTGGCCCTAAAAAGGGGGCAATGGAAAGCAGCTTCTGAAAAACTTTGCCAAGAAAACTTCAGACACTTCAGGAATTGAATACAACTGGATGGAAGCAAGAAAAAGATTTAATGGCTAAATAAACAGCCTCCCAGATACATCCAGATACCTTTCAACATCCTTGGCCAGCAGCCTATTGGCTGATGGAAGATTCTGGAAATTTGTGGTTCCAAAATCTGAAGAGTTCCAGATCAATGAGGGCTGGGATAGAGCTTCCATTTTGGCCCAGGTGCAACTCAGCCTTGACCCACAGCATAGATTTTGATAGTTTCTGACTTGCTCAGTGATTCACTATCAGAGTTATGATGTAACGCCACGGTTTATAGCTGAGGTCATGATAAGGTATCAGTCTCTTTCTTCAATTGGCTCTGAACTGCTATAAATGGGCATCCAGCTGCCCTCATCCCAGTAACATTTTTTCTTTTATAAACATAAACTTTATTCATGACTTGCAAGCTATCCAAGAGGCACAGGCTTCCAGGAACGTCTCCAATACTCCAACAATGTAAGAAACCTCCCCGAATAAAGTCAGCATGTGAGGAGAAAGTTCGCTAAGGCTGAGGAAGACGTTGTTGAGGTAAGTTGCATTTGAAGGGAAATTAATTCCAAGGTGTGGGCACTCAAGCTGTTCTTCCAGCAGCGTAAATGATTTGACACAATCCCCTGGATGTCCCTCCCACAAGGAAATATCATTCAGCCCTGAGAAATATTTATTTTCAGGGGAAAGCAAATAGTTAATCCCAGCTCAGAAGGTAAGAAAAGTCATTTGGAAAGAATTGAAGGAATTGGTGTTCAAGAATGAATGGATACTGGTGTGATAAATCATGAAAGTGAATTAGCCGGCAGAGTTACCTTATATGAGAGGTAGATGGTATAAACATAGATAGATAGATAGATAGATAGATAGATAGATAGATAGATAGATA